CCCCCCCCCCCCCCCCACTATCACATGACGTGTTCGTTTTCTTCGTCTGGCTTGCGCGTCTCACATCTTTTTTCCACTTCTGTGCAATCCGCGCGTATGCGTACACGGCGCTCCTCCGCGTAGACGCTGTGCCTATTTGGTTCCACGTGACTGTGCGGCCATTGGTGTCACACCGCATGGCACGTACGGCACACGCTGCTATCCGAACTTTTATCGTTCGGCGCCATTGTTGGCGACGTCTAACTAAGTGCGAGGCAACGCTTCGCACAGACAACGTGTCGAAATTGCACGTCGACTTACAGTAACGTCACGCTTGCGCGTAATTACGCGAGATTATCGGTCTTGGATTTCCAATGACCGATCGACTACGTTTCTCGAAACGCGCCAGCGTTGTTGGTTAAGACCAATTTGCAATCTTCCTGCTTTGTATCTTATAAATAAAAGTCATTTTATATTTTTGCATGTTTTAAATTATACCTCAGCGCTCTATTCATAAAAATAGTATCATAATTTATGTTAAACAGATACATTTTGCATTTCAAAATGCATCAACGATAAGTTGTTTTTCGAGAATAATTTTGAATTTTTAGTATAATTATGCTTTATGGTCGTCTCGCAGTTGAGAAAAATCTGAAATTCTGCGTGAAATTTCGCGGCACAAAAATATATCGCACCATTACCGACGCAATAATAACTTCGCGAATAGTTGCCAAACTTTCAAGATCGTTGGGTAAGCTAGGGTATTATTTCGGAGATTGGTGTGGCTGTCGCAGGTGCGAATCGTTATTTTGTCTGTTCGCGACTTCAATGCTACAATGAAAACTACAGGTTCCGTGGAAACGTTTAACCGAAGCTTTTGCTCGCTCCGACTTTCCCCGCGAGTGAGAGCTTCACCGATAAGCGGCCACGGGCAGAGACTGAAGTGTAATGTAATTATTAGACGTTAAGTGGCACGATAACGAGGCGTTCCCTTAACGGAGCCGGCGCACATCTAATAAATATCGCGTAAAAGGGTACTCGACGAAGGTAGATATTCCAGGAACGGAGTAACATCGAAGATACGAATGAAAGGAAACCGATAATCCACTGCAGGTATGATGACGCCTCGGGCACGTTTAACTTGCTCTGTTCTCGTTAGTTCGCAAAAAATCCGCTAGTCTCGCATGCATGTGAGTTCGGTAAAGTCTAATAAAGTACGTACACGATTTCCACGGCACGTACGACGTGCAAGATAGAGAAGATGTAGAAAGAAAACGAAAATGCTGTTTGCGTATATCCTAAACACGATATTGTGTGCGCGAATCCTGTTGGAGGCGGTTTACCCACGTGCTTATAAACCGCGCGTGCGCCTATTCATGCAACGGCCTTCGTGCTCCTTCCCCCTCACCTCTTCTGCCTTGTCTCTCCTTCTGTACGCGCGTCTGTCTATTTCTGTTCCGTATCTCTCTGTCTTTTTCGCAATATACATACATTCCCCTCCTTTCTCTCTCGCTCACCTCTCCTTATCGCTCGTGTTGTGTTTCTCTATCTTGTTCCATCCTCTTTGCCCGCGATTCTATTTCTTTCGTTCCTTTGCGTTTCTTATTTGCTCTTTTTCTCGGGCCACGAGTTCCGTCTCGTTCCCCGCCTGGTTATGTCTGTGTGTACGTTGGCGATCCCAGTCATCTGTTTTCTGCCTGCGTTCCTCTTTAAACTCGACCGCGTCTACTCTCCTTTCTCTCCCCCCACTTGACGATTCCACCACGTGTACCTATATCAGTTCGCGCCGGTAGCGCTGTGCCACTCGCTGTCACGTGCGTTCCTACGCGAAACGTTTTTGCTAATGCGGAGTCGAACGTTTATCACGTTTTGAGGGAAAGACATTTTCGAGATTTCTAGCGTCACACGTGCACGCGTGTAAATTATTTTCGCATATTTTCGCATTTGTCTCCCCTTTGCGTTCGTTTCGCATTAGCGAAGCGTTAAAATTGATTTTAGCGTTGTCCCTCTAGTGCAAAAGTAGCTGCGAGCGAATATATACGTTCATACTACGTTTCTAACCTGCAAATTAATTTAAGAAAATATTGGTGTACAGCTTAATATTGTGAAATGTCAATTTTCAAACACCAATGTACTAATTTTACAATTTTCAATTTCTCAATTATACATTTTCTACTGTTTCCCGTATAAAGAAAGAACGTTCACAATCTTCGAAGTTTAAAACTCCTATTTCCTGTACTTTCACAGCAATCTAAATTTGCGTTTGCTAGGAGAATGAACTTAGATCATAACACTAGATCGACTCCTGGAAACCGTATTACGCGCAGCGTTGGTTCTTCAGTCAATTTCCTTATCGTGGCTGGAATTTTGTGTTGCGTGACTTTTTTCACCACCTGTGACGTGAACCGAGCAAGTACGAACACGCGCGAGCTGCGCGTGATAAGATTCGAATTTGCACGCTGCAAAGAATTTCGTCCTTGCATATTTTCATTCTTTTTGACTTCTCGCGAAGCATGTGCTGGTTGTCACGTGCACATATCTTCACGCATGTTCGTGGTGACGTCAAATGTAGGGCTTATCGTATTTCGAGGGAGAGGTATTCTCTGAATCTGCAGGAGTATCATCTGTCGTTTGCGCTAAGGTATTCTCGAAAGCGAAGCGAGAACGTTTCTATGGGCTTTCTCTCGCTTTCCTCGCGTGCGTATCCATTCTTTGGAAAGGTCTAATTCTCATGAAGTTTAATTACGAAATAAAGTAAATTACGTATAATTATCAGAAGGACAATTTTCGAATAGTTTTTAATATTATTTTAATATTTAATATTCATTTCATTCTTCCTAACCTCTAAATATTTCGAATAAAATGTACACGCTTTATTTACTCAATTTAGCGTAGTTTGGTTAGGTTAGGTTGGATTAGGAATTAATGAAATATGTTATTATTTTACACGCATATTTTTTCAATAATAAAGACAAATCTGAAACAGTGAAACACGATCTGTTCGTACTCCAGTGTGCAAATTTGATAAACAAAAGTGATTTTGTACACGATAAGTGCGTATACATAATCTGTCTCTACGAGGCCGTAGCAGTTTCGAGTAAATAAATATATCTTGTTATCAGTTAGAACATATTTGCGCTTTCTCGTTTGTGAATAATCAGAATCTGTCTGAAACACGTGCTTATATAATCTCGAGAGCATTTTGCCATTTTATACCCCTTCAATCGAAGACTAATTCATTTTTCTGAGCTCCGAATGAAAATCGAGCCTCGCCAATATTCTAGACTAGATCTGTAGAAAATTACGAACATTACGAGACTTCTGCATTATCGATTCGTTCATCCTTTTTAATCGTGAGAATTTTGTTACAGTCGTTGAGAAGGAAGGAACGAGAGTACGAGCATGAAATGGAAAGGCTTGCCAGGGAAAAAATCGCTGCTCAACAAAAATTATTAGCTCTGAAGAAGGAACTCGCGGCTACATGGGATCACATTGATTTTAATACTCTTTTACCGGAACAAAATTCAGCTGCCGACGTGGCGGCTACAAGAAGTGGCAAGTTTTATCATTATATTTATATTTAGATTTTTTAAGCTATTTCACCTTGAACAATTTTCTAATAAATTTTAAATGACATAAACATTCTTTAATAATACATTTAAACTGCTTAAAAATATTCCTATTTTTAATAAATACTCCGAAGAATTTTAGGTTATTTATATGTAACCTACGAATCGATTGCATTATCATTAAAGCGTATAAAACATAAAATTAACGATATAAAATAAAAAAAATCAATAATAATTTCGATCAAATTTTTATCTAACCATCTTCTTTCTACTAAAGTTTCAGAAAACATGGAGGTCGACGTAACTGGGCTCGCTAGGGGTGGCACGAGGTACAGCAGCACCAGCAGCCTGAGCAGCGCAGCCACGGCCAGTTCACCGCAAACGCTTCAAACGACCAGCACGACTTCCAATATTCATAATCAAGTCGCCACCGCGGCTGTTGTATGTCAGACACAGGGAATGAACCTTGCGCCAAGTTCCAGGGAAAGTCCACCTGCGAGTTCGAGTCCTGGAACGCCCGCACCTAGTATTCCTACTCCAGCACAGGTACATTGAAACTCTCAGATTTTAACAGAAGTGGCATCTTTTTCATTATAAGACGACGAGAAAAAGTTTTTTATGGACGGTTAGATTAGCTCAATCGGTTAAGCGTGTGGCCGATAATCCGAAAGTCCCGAGTTCGAATCTCGGTTCTGTAAAATTTCTGACTGAGCGGTTTTCTTTCTCTCATAGATAGGCTCGGTATATATAATGATTTTATAAGCACCGCTGGCCCGTTTGGGCACAACGTGCGTTTAGCGTTGTGTGTGAAACGGTGCAAGAATAAATCATCACCATCTGCAATAATACTGTTTATGAGAACTATGAGCAAACAGGTAAAAAGGTGATGAACAATTTCTTTTTTAACGTAGGAAAAATTACATATTACTATACAAGTGTAAAAAAAATGTATCTTCGTACTTTTTTACACAAATACATTTTTTCTGCAACAATGTCTAAAAGAAAAAAAAAGAACATTTCTCGTCCGTATAAAATCAATTTTATATCACAGTATTTATCTTAAATTTAAGAGTATGTACTCGCAAAGTCCATTTCATTCGAAATAACGTATATTTTCATTCTAGGAGAAAGTTAACACATCGCCAACGGGTATAGTACAACAGTCGCACCAGCTGCACCTGCCGATCAGTGCTCAAATGTTGAACACGAGTCAAGGCTTGGCGACGATCGTGCCGACGCTGCAGCACATCGGGCCGAGTCTCAGGGTGATACCTGGTGACACGAGGCAGCTTCTGGTCACTCACACCGCCGGCAACAACGAGTCCAGACCGCTTACGTTGGCCGTGCAAAACTCTTCGGATCAATCGAGGCCGCTGATCGCCGTGCAATCGAACACTGGAAGTGAGCCAAGGCCCGTAGCGCTGGTCGTTCACTCGTCCACGGCCAACGACAACAGAGTAACGTTCGTGCATTCTAATCTGTCCAACAACGACAGGCCGTTGGCCCTAGCCGTGCAGTCGTCCGCCAATGACGTCAGGCCAGTTACATTCGTGCACTCGGCAAACGAGGGAAGGCCGTTAGTTCTCGCCGCGCATTCTCCTGCACTGAATGTGTCGAGTGAGTAACTTGGAACAATCTTTTTTTATGTTTGTCAATGTTGTTTTATTATGAAAGAACACCGATACGTTTTTGTTATTGTTGTTTACCCAGTGCTGCTCGAATTATACTTTATGGAGTATAGAGCTTTCCCTATTTTGTCTTCATCGTTTTTAGTAGGGTTAGGAACGTTACTGCAGTTAAATCTTGTAGAAAATAAATAGCGATTATAGTTGTCGTTTTGTGTCAGTAATAAAAATGTACAGAAGAAGCATAATTGTACAGCAAATTTCACCTATGAACAGGTCATTGCAATTATTGTCCGGTGTTCAAATTAACCTCTTACAATTACTTTACGAATTTTTAACGACTACAAAAGTTAGCGTTAGCTACTCGCTAATTTATATTGTGTCAGATGGGAAGGTTGCAATAATGTACATGATTTGTATTTGATAGTCTATATTCTTATAAATTGAAGCGGAAGTTAAGATAAACATTCTTAAAAATGCAACTTGTTTTTAGCATATCTATTGATTTAAAAGTATATCTAAAATCCATAGAGTTTTGTAATTTTAGTAAAATTACAAATATGTAGTGAATATTGTTCTCTGAGAGAATTGCGTGGTTTAAATAGTAAAAGGATGTGGAAGGGTGCAATTGTATAAATGAACTTCATTCATGAATAGCACTGATTTGATTCTGCAACTGCTGGATACAATGTAGCAATTTTAAATTGTGTTTCAGACGCTCAAACAAGGATAAGAGCGGGAGATGCGCAAACCACACATAAAATGGTCGGCGGTGTGACGCTGGTAGGCGGAAATGGATCGGAGCTGACTAGACTTCCCGGTGGCGCTGAATTGAACATACTCCCAGCAAATGGTAATGCTTTACATTGAATTGATCTACCATTTTTTCTCTGCCTCCTGTCCCGCGCTTGACAAATCGTTCATGGCCGTACCTCTTACACTTGCCACCAGAGGGACAACACGGGAATACCTTTCTCGCAAGTTATTGCTTAATCATTCATTTGTATAAATACAACTTCCGTCTTGAGTTCAACTATGACTCCTATATTGCCTCTTTACAAGTAATCGAAATGCATCATACACTCAAGGTCAAAATTGCACTGTTGTGATTTTGTAATAAATTGGTGCAAGATAAAAACTAATCATTGAGCAGAGTAACTCGTATTTCTTTCATGTGCGAGTCACTTTGAAAATGACTGACAAAGTTAATTATAACTCCTTGCACTTCAAATTTTATTTAACACTTCGATTTATTAACTTACATAACACAAACACTAAGTATTAGATTTTTATTTATGGAAAAACCAACTAACTAAACGGTGAAATTCAGAAGACCACACACTTGGAGTGCAAAGTGTTAGAATTACGTTCAACATTGTTACAACATTATTTCATTCATTCAAAGAACATAATATATCTTACGGTGCAATACTCCTATGGGTTGTAGGATTAACGCTGAGCCACGCAGGAGTGTCGCTTCAAACTACAACAGGTAAACCAGGCTCGACAGTGATGCAGAACGCTCCGTCCACAGAGGGTATAGCTCACATCGTTGGTCCACACACGCCCCTGTCCGGACTGACGCCGATGACCGTCGTCTCGCAAGGGAATCAAGTGACTGCTCATATCCTGGCTCCGTCGAGCCTCGCGGGGAAAATGATCACCACGCCGATCCTCAAGTCCGTGGCACAGATGCCGATCGTGAACGCTCAGTATATAAATACAACCACCCTGGTGAAGCCTGTCGTGGTCGTCAGCTCACCGGCAACATCGACGCCGCAATCGACGACGGCTTCCAGTACACAACCTTCCTCGACCACGCACTCGACCGTCTGACAGAATCAAAAGAAAGTGAAACTAGTTTGAGAAATGGCTACCGCCAGGTGTATCAAAGCATGGAGTTACAGAGATTACGACAGATCGGTGTACAAACGACACGAGTCCACGTTTCACTGCTACTCAACAATACACGCATGTACAGGATCTCGTGCACTGATTCGATAGGAGATATAGTAGTGGTCACGTTAAGATGGCAGACCTGAACAGGGAGAGGATGATTTTAGATGAGAGAACTCTGTCCGTCATGCTATTCCCGACATCGAAGGAGGATTTCCTATTTTTTAAAACTTCACTTGCGTTCCTTCGTGTTTTTTGAATTTTCGAATGTTTATACTCTTCCAAAGAGTGAGCCGACTGAGATTGGAAAAAGGGGGAGAGAAAGGTGTTGAAAATGCCGTTGCTCAACTTGTTGCGATTGTGCATGGTACCTCGAATGCTTCAGAGAAGTACTTATGGGAAGTATAATGCGACACGAGGCAGCTTCAGATGTGAATAATTATTTTCTTTTCGTTATTCGAATAGCAGAAAGAGCGTGCGTGACGCACACGACGAAATTTTCCGATGCGAGCATTTAATGTTTACAGATTCTAAATTTTGTCGGTCGAATTATAAAGCTCCGGGAAATGAAACAATTTATAATTCTTCGTGTTACGATTATTTGTTAAGAGATTTCTTTCAGGAATTACTTTAAATATATATGTAGTATTATGAACAGATTTCATTGACAGACGAGAAAGATTTGATTCGTAATTTAAAAAGATAAAAAAAAAATAATGTTCACACGATTTTTACATTGCTTGACCGCAGAGTATGAGAGAATTCATACTAACGTTCTGGTACCTTGTTGCAATTGAAGAAGTTCAGCAAAAGAAGACGAGGAAGAAGAAGAAGAAGAAAAAGAAACTAAACGACTGTGTTTAGAGAGTGATGTTAAATTAAAGAATTGTATGATATAGAAGATTGGTTTAAATGTTTGAAATTGATCGAAATCTTGATAATCGGATGGATGATAAAAATAATGCTTATGCTTTTTAAATTAATCATTATGTAATTAAAAAAAAAAATAGTGGCTGTGGAGAAACGATGATCGTTTTGCGCCTGTAATATTTACTTTCGGAAATTAGACGGTATATTGTGACACTTCCGTCGCGTCAAATGCGCACCAAGGAGCATGCGGATACGTTTTTTCTTTTTTTTCTCTCTTTTTTTTTTTATATAGAATGTGCTCAAGTATTTATTCATTTCTATTTATTCTACAAAATGCAACGCTATGTGAGCAAGAGCAAAAAGGAAACAAGAAGCGTTCGCCTTAGCTTCTTAATTCTTAATATCTTTACTGGGTTCATTTCGCGAGAACGTTCGCTTATAACTATTGGAAAGAAGAAGAAAAAGAAGAAAAGAATTACACGAAACATGCATGCGTACGTTTTTCTTTTAAAAATATAGTAGTTCGATTTCCGTGGAAATCTGTGTACAGACGAAACGTTATATATTTTGCATACTATTTTGCTGCAAGTGTTCAGACGAATGAGAACCACGAGGGGGAGGGGGGTTAATTCGCGTTGCAAGAGAAAATCAGAATTATTTGTATACATGTAATCGTTTACCGTACTATTTTAAATTGTTTTTTTTTTCTACGCGTAAGTAAAGGAGGAAAAAAAAGAAGATTTACGTTTCATCTTGCAATACTAAGTTTTTTGAGCTTTCATTCGATATACTCGATGCGAGACCGTTAACGGTGATATATTCTCAGCTTAAATAGATTAAAATGACGCTAAGTGGTAGAACACAAATACTTATCTTGCAGACGTGACGAATATATTTTGTTGGTTACACTGTAATTCATCTTCAAATGACTTTACGTGTGATCGCTACATTGCGCTCTGTCGGTTGAGATTTCCTCTTATGTACGAAATTCACTACAGAAGTACAAAAGAGTAAGCTCTCATAGTTAAAAATCTACTGGATTTTCTCTTCTTTCATTTAAGATACACTTTTTACTCATCTGCTTCTGTAACACGATTGATTTCTTCTTGCTCTTTGAAAATTCTAACGAAAATTCTAACCTAAAGAAGAAAATCGAATCGAACGTCTTGAAAATGAAATAGAACTGCATGGAACTCGAATTACCGTAAATTTAGGCACAACACTATGCACGTTATTTTTCTTTTTGTTGAAAATGATTCGCTGACTAGCACCTTATTGACGTAATACGAGCAAAGGAAATTCTTTGTAAATTTATTTGTTTATTGGACTCTCAAAGTTATATATTGTATATATAATTACTATTTATTATCTCGTTTATAACATTCGAAATTTGAATTGCACACCTCTTGTGCAACAGAGGTCGAATGTTCACGTATATCGATTCTTGCATGTGATTCTCGTTCGATTCAAAATGGCGACATTGGTCGATAAGGTGCTAATTTCGATTGAATTTCGTAAACTCGTACATCGCCATAATAAATTGCAATTTCTTTGTCTTTCCGTGTGAGATAGCACGTACTTGAAGGAGAGAATTAAGAAAATGGATAAATACGATATTCAAAGAACGACGCGCAAGAAAGCAAAGCGAGAAACGTTCGAAAGTGGTGTAACTCGGAGTTTTTATACGCGCGCGCGTGTGTGTGCGAGTGTGCATGATATGACTGTTAACGGTCTCTTTTCAGAATATCACGATTTGTACTCTAGTATTATTATTAACTTGTATCTGCGTATACACACATATATATCTTGTTTTTTTTTTATTTTTTAAATTATTTAATCAAAGGCTTTGGTCAGTCAGTTTAAGCGCTGATTAAATGTAACTACGTAATAACGCATGGGCGCTGTGTCTTTAGATCTATCGAGAAAATTCGTTAAAGGATTTCTATAAGTTATTGGTAGAAAGCGGAGAACAATATCGTGTTTTCAGGGAAGTTGAAACGCCTGAAACGTTCATGAACTTTGTATACATTATGGAATTGTTGGAAACGTCAGACACGTGACAGAGAATTTCGAAGAAACGTATTTAACGCGTTCAACATTGTACCGTGGTTATGTTATACTACTCGAAGCAATGAGAGAATCATGTTTCTGGAATGAAAGAAAAGGCCGATTAACGAAAAAATACCGTGTATTTAATATAGCAATATTTTTAACGCATTTGAGTGAACCTAACTCATGTAATATTATATCTTGGTGATTTTATACGAGATATTTTATTGAGTGATTAAATTATTTGGGAAATGATTCTCTTACAGTTTTGAGTACTATATTCTAAGCTCGCAGTTACAATAGTTTCCATTTCGATGTGTTAAATAGTCCACTTTAAATTTGCTACAGTCATTCAGTTTTTGCTATCATTTTGAACGCGTTAAACACAGACTCTATTCGCGACTGTTTCGATAAAGTACCGTTTACAAAGTAATTATAGTACTACTAAATTAGTAGAACTATTTAAATAAGTAACGCTACTGAATCAGTAGTGGTTTCGTTAGACTGGAAAGCAGTACTTTATCGCGACACGCCATATACGATAATAAAAGAAATCTCAGGTTTCAACACGTGTATTTACCAGTTCGTTACTTCTCCGGTTTCATAGCGTGTCTCACAGCCACGGTGATTTTTTTTTCTGCGCGTTGTTTCGATACACGAGAGAAAGTACAGAGATTCGTGTCCGTACACACTGCAATCGTTTATCTATCGATATATTTTCGTCGAACCGTTGTTGTTTTTACTTTGTTACACGTTCGTCCTTTTCGTTTCGATATTTCGACTCGATGTAACATACTCGAACATAATGTACACTTTGTTTTCTTATTACTTTCGATCGAGATCGATTTAATTAGTCGTCGTCCATTGCTGATTAGGCGCACTCTGCGGTTAATATTGAGCAGGTCTTTCGTAAAAGAAACTAAATGAGAAGAAAAAGAATATGTCTTTCGAGGAAATATAACATTTCCATTTCGTAGTGTTTTGCGTGTGTTTCTACGTTCCAAGAGCCGTTACTGAAAGAAAGAGAAATTTTCCTGGATGGATGAACAATTCTATTCGAGAACACCGAAATCGGCGCGTGCACTAGTCATTTTCGTTCCCTCCTTTGTCGTATCTTTTTTTTTTTACTTTTTTTTTTTTAAGCGACCAAACAATTGCTCCGCTGGGCTTTCGAATTGTATATGTTGTTTTTTTTTGTTTTTTTTTCGTAATTCGGCATCGTTCCGTTAATGAATCCAACCTTGTGAATCGTGCAATGGATGTAAATAGTTGTACTAGATGTTGGGGGCATTCTTTAATCACGCTACGCAGAACGAGCGACTGAAAGCGCAGGCGAGAGGGTTTGTTGACACTTAACCTCTAAACGTAAGGCGAGTAATAAATGATATTCCGTTATTTTACAATTCTTTTGCAATCCTTTGTCCACTGTTTGTCTCAATGAACGTAACGTTCTCCATATTTTTCAGATAAGAGAAAAGAGCGACAAATTTATAGCGAAACAAATTGTTCTATCGATGAAACATATGGCCTACGTGTAAGTAAGGTGGATCTCGAAAGAATTTACGAAAACATTCATTGTTGCTCCCCTTGCGTTTGGCGAAGTTAGAAGAGAGAAAAAGGAAGACAGCGGTAGGACGAATCAAAACGAGACCGCGTTCGCGTTTTTGCTGTTCAGACGTATGATGAGAGAGAGAGAGAGAGAGAGAGAGGGGGGGAGAAAAGTCAAAAAATGATACAAATATCCCTTTTTGTACATAATGAAATAGAGAAAAGAAGTTTAAAAAAAATGAAGAATTCTCGTCGGTCAGCGGGAACAATCCGGTCGACGGGGAGAGAGAGAAAGAGAGAGAGAGAGAGAGAGAGAACGTGCGAGGAATCTATGTGTACATGAACAATGTGATATAAGTAATTAATAAAAATTACTAAGCACTATAGCGTTTAAGCGGAGAAAAGGGAGAGAAAGAAACTGTTAAACCGTTTACAGCGTAGACGTACGATGCTAACTATTATTTACTAACATCCTAAAAACAAAAAAAACCGTAAGGGAAATCTAATTGTACATAGAATTACGAGAGGGAGAGAGAGTGAGAGACAGAGAGAAAGTGAGAGAAAGAGAAGGGGAGAGAGGGAGAGAGAGAGAGAGAGGTTCGAACATGTTTTTCTGAATAAATTCTATGAATTAAGGAAATTTATTTCCTGGGAGAGAAAACAGTATTAGATCACACTTTGTAATTATTCGTGACACTAGGTGGTAGTGACTCGGATTTCTTAATTGCAAGAAAGTTATTACGTGGTGTAATGAGTTTCTTCGATGACGAGTTATATCAATGTGAAATTATAAGTATATTAAATATGTTTTTTATGAACATCGGAATTGGTAGAGTGTCCATCGTATCCCTTCGCGTGTGATTTTTTTTTTTTTTAAACGTGATGAGTTGCTATAAGGATTATTGATATATGTATATGTATACAAAGAATTTTTTGTTGTTGTTAGTATAGAATGACTTTCGTTTTAATTTATTTTTATTAAATTAGAACTACAAAGTAGTGGAAAATCTATGAATATCCTCATAGCGATTCATTATTATTCAGATAATAGCGAAGTGAGAATAAAAAACGAAGAATCAACAGTGTCTCTCATTTATATATCCAGCTATAAAATAGTGTAATAATATTTAATAGTTTCTAATTTCTTTTTTTTCTCTCTCCAACATTTCCAAGATTTTCTATTCTCACTTCGCAATTACAAAGCGTCCACTTTAAATAGCAACAAAGCATGCAGATTGAACTTCTCAAACTTGCGAACGTGATTAAAATGAAAGTGTAATAGCGGGTACAATACTGCAATTCCAAGTCTATCTCAATTTACCTCGATGACCAGGTTGGACAATCGTTTCTCCAGTTGTTCGTTGTGGTGGTACTGGCGAGAAGTTAGTTTTAAAGAATAGGTTCAATAAAGTAAAAAATCGAAATCAGATCTGTTGTTTAATTCGAAGTGTGTTGCCGATGAGTTTCAAATTTCCTCCGATTTTTCAATAAAAAAAGAACAAGAACATTCTTCGTCCAATTCAATGATTCATTCTGAATACCTGCGAGAAGGTTTCGATTCGTTGAAGGAAAACAAAAAGAAAAACACATATGCACGAATAAAAGCATCGTGTGTGCTTCCCATAACCTTAAACTTAAAAAGAAAAAAAAATAGAAAAGTAAGAGTACAATTTTATTTGAAAAATCCTTAAGTTCTTCTCGCTTAATTCTTTCCAATAAGTTCTTCTTGTTGCAAACAATTACGGAATCGCTTAGTGACTGAAAAACCAATTTATTTTCATACTGTGACTTTATCATTGACAATAATCATTATACGAGGGACGGTATTATCCACCGTCACCATCATTGCACACAGGATGATAGATGCGTATCGGAGACAAGGAAAATAGAAACGACAATAAATTACAATAGTAGCTCGCATCGCGACGAACATGAGTCTCTCTTGCGTCGAATCGATCGGTCGGTCGGTCGATCGATCCGCGATTTATTAATCCAGAAAAATCTCGATTTTATGTATCCATTTATTAAAAATATGCACTAATTCACATTGTGTATGTGTGTACGTGTATATATGTACTTCGTGTACATATGCATGTATGCATGTAAATAGTGTGTATATGTGTATGTGTGTGTGTAATACCGTTACTTTCAATTAGAGTAGAGTATAACACAATCATTAATATTGTCCTCTATCTACGCGTTGAGACACTTCTAGCACGTAATTCTCAAAATATACAATATTCTCGTGTTCATCGTTTACAAAAAACTAGATTCTTTCTTCCTAGACGCTTGGGTAGAATTTCTTTGGAATTTCTAACTACAATCCTGAACATCTTCCTCCGTCTTCCTTCTTCTTCTTCTTCTCTTGCTTCTTTTATCTCCCCCTTTCTTTCGCTAAATACTCTTTCTTTTACTTTAACTTCGTTTCTTTCTTCTTTTTTTTTTTTGCTTTTTTCGTTCGTATTTTTTTTTGGTCGGTTTCACAGGTATTCTCGGCTGTCGTCGATCGTCGCACTTCCGTTTCAGCACGCGTGGCGTACGTGTACACATACATTATACATATACTCTGAGTACAAGTAGCTTTCATCTTTTTTTTGCTTTTTTCTTCGAAGATTTACAAACTCAATTTTTCAAACATAATAATTAGTCTAACGAGTAATACTTTTACGAATTCGCAACTCGTAAACTGTATAATAATATCCCTCTTCTTTTTTTTCCTTTTTTGGTTTTTTAAATATTACGGTTAAGAGTGACGTTTTTTCCCACTTCACGTTCCATTTTTCACATACAGATCACAATATCTTCCCTTTTTCTTTTCTACGCAAACAAAATATCAATGGCAAAGTTCATCGAATTATTACTAATATCGGAACTACGGAAACGTGGACTGTTAAACTTGTTAATACATTTCATACGCTTCGTCGAGAAAATCGTGTGTAATCAGATTCTCGAACGTACATCGAACATGCGTTTAAAACAATACAAAAAAAGAAAGAGGGGGAAAAATGATATTTCAGTTTATTTTCGATCATTTCGGAAAGAGTTCTAAGAAATCATCTTTGCGATTTCGTAAATTTCAGACGTCCTCGAACAGCAAGAGGACCCATACGAACTATCTAAAGTTTCGCGATTACCAACGACGACGAGCAATTACATTTAAATCATCCGAATTCGAATCGTCGTCGATCACAGAATGAAAAGTCGAACACTTTGCATGAAATTGCGTTTAGACAATTTTTGTAGAATCACGTAGACGTCGAGTTTCTTCATTCTTCCTTTCTTTCTCTTTCTTTTTTTTCTTTCTTTCTTTCGTTTCCTTTCTCTCGAAGTATCTGAACTTTCGACGGGTCTACGATTTCGAGAAAAAGAAGAACATCTCGAGGCAACCAGAATTTTTACACACGGCGAGTTCTCGCATTGACTACCCATCGGAAAGGGTGCACTAAACGTTTACTAAAAATAGCTTATATAAAACATCTGCTTCAGAGCGATGGATCTTTTCTTCACTTCTTCATTTCTCTTCTTCCTCTCTCTCTCTCTCTCTCTTTTTCTTATTTGTTTCTTTTATATACTCGGCATTTACAGCTTTGATCGCTTCTTATTATAATAAAAATACTATATAGACGTGGACCTTGCACTTACGGATTACGACTTTTTTTCTTTCTTCTTTTCTTTATCTCTTCATTGAATATAATTTCACTTTGAGGTTATGTTCACTCTGTCGTCTCGTTTGTACTGCTCTAAATGTACTACACTTTGTCGTTTTTTCTTACTTTTTTTTGTTTTTTTTTTTTTGGTTTGTTTGTTGGGAAGACTTTGAGTTGTGAATGACGATCTTACGTCCTCGCACTTCCTTTTTTAAGTGATTTTGGTACTCGCGACAGTTTGTTTGTTTTTTTTTTTTTCGAAGGAAGAAATCGAAATCTATTCTTGTTGCATTTGTTTGAAGACATTTTCTTGTTAATAGCAATACTTGAAATAATATTATGGATACTTCGTCACCTCTGAGTATAGTACATAGTAAAAAATATTTTCTACTTTTATTTTACTTAAAATATCCCACTTAGTCAATGTAAAATTCAATAGAGAAATTGTATAAGCACTACAGGTTGAGACAAAATTGCAATGAAGTGTGTAATTAAAAACTAAATAAATAAATAAATACAAATTTGTTGAAGTTAAACCTACAATAAACACAACATATTATATATGTACAATTACAAAAAATTTTTTGAATAATTTCATCAAATAATAGCAGATTAATGTTGCTCGTGTTATATTTTCCATCTCCATATATATTTATGCAATATTCTTAACTACCTTACCTAATTGCAAAAATTTTGATTTCTAAAAAGCTGAAGATTCATTTCACTGCACACATGTTATCATAACTGTGACTATCGCATTTAAGCATTAAAAAAAAAGATTCCAAAAAACAAAAACAAAACAATTCTTATACACCTAATTACTTACATAGAAATTAATCGTATCTTACATGATTCAATATCATCAATTAATAAGTAAAATCAAAGCAAAAAAGTCTTCAAACAAATCCACACGAAAGAGCTTCTTCCCTCTCAATTATCTTTTGCGAGCACTGAATATACATCGGGACAGGACAATGGAATTTGTACTCGGTTACGTCCGATACAATTGTTAATAACCAGCTATGATCCTATAATCGTAATCGCAATATCGGAGCTCATTCTTCTCGCGCGGTGGAATCATCCGTCTCGAGCATTCTCCATAGAACAAAAATCGTACGGTTATAAGTTATGTATTTGGGATGCGAGCACTATTGCGAACCGAATCAGAAAAAACAGGTGCGGCACAACAGAATGCTCGTTACGCAATAGAAAATTATCATTTGTATTTTGCTACACGGCGGCGAGACGATACTGTATTTACAAATTGGTTGGCACTTTCTTCGGTATGGAGAGTACATCTGGTTTCGGGAACGTGATTGATTCCGATGCGTGGTCAACCGAGAGAATTTCGAGTGCGATCGCGATTCGAACGAGGATATTCGAATGTTCGTTTGCGTTTTCTGTTCTTAAATAATTTGGAAATTTTAAACTTATTCTCTGTTTCATTCCTATAAATTGTTAATTTGGCAGATTACTGGTCTGTTGGTACAGTGTTAGGTTATAAGTTCAGAAGTGTCGCAATATTTTGTGATTGATAGAATTTCTGATAAATTGTGAATGTAGTATTGTTTAATGTTTCGAACATGGTCGAAGAATTTTGTTAGTGGAATTTACATTCTATGTAGAATAATGTATCTTAAAGCATTTCCTTTAGAGTGATTGATTTTGTTGCATTTAGTGATGATTCATTCTTAGATGAATTTGCACACATAGAACAAATGTGAAAATCAACATGTATCAAAAGAACATATGGTGCAATTTAACACTTTGACTATCAAAGTAATTTTGACCATGGTTTAAAGTTGTACAGTTATCATTATGTACAGTGGTTACAGGATTTGATTAAAAAATAAAAAAAACTTTCACTCAAGCATCGCAAGAATCACTCTAAGCAATCTTATATTAAATTCTTTAAAATCAAAATGAACAAATGCATTATAATAAAATCTCCAAACCTTTTAAGTGTTCCAAGACCAAGAACCACCGCAAACGAGCACTGTTTCCCCTCGTTCGATGTGTCTCGTTCTAAGCAAGGTAGAAACCTCAGTTGCTATGATACACACGTTACTATGAGTATGTACAACAACTACGGACAGTTGACTTCTACGTCGCCTACTCCGCACGAACGTCTCACCCTCTCTCCTCTCCCTTTTCGTTAAGTTCCTTATTTATGAAGTTGAACACAATGATTGAGATAGTCTTCCATCACAATAGAAGAGCAATTAATACCGGTAATATGTTCACACTGCGTACTCGATTTTCATCTAGATATCGCGTTATAATATCTCTTCCATTAACTTCTTCTACAAATTCTTCTTTCATTTTTTGCTGCTTCGTTCTCTTCGTGTTTCTTTCTCTGTTCCACATCTTTTCTTCCTTTATATATTATAATCTCATGTGGACTGCGTCGATCGGAAAGTTCGATCGCTAAAAAAGATTCAAGAAGGTTAGGATCCAAGAAACCTTCGAATCGAGTCGTTGCACGGGGAAATAATTTGCGTGCGCGAGTAACGATGAAGTTTAGATAGTTTATGTGCGTTGTACGTGATCCGTGTGGTGTAACGCGAGGGACGAGCCGTCGGGTTTGACGTTTATCAGAGATCGATTCTTTTGATCAACGCACTCGTGGCGGAGGCGTGACCGATCTGTGACCGGTTGTGTTCAGCGTCGTTTCTTCATCTACGTTTGAGGTAGAGTAATTCGGGAAACAGAACAAAGTGGAGTGTCACTGGTGAATGATAGAGTAGCAGAGAAACCTTTGGCAATATAATGTTTGCTCCTTTCTTTAGCTGATTCTGAGTGTCCGATCGCCTGGTCGCCGTTCTTATCAATTGCTGCTCTGTCCGCTATTACTTTGCTCCTGGTATCTTGCCTAACACCTGGAAACGATTCAAATGGGAAAAGGTTATTTAACGTTGAAATTTGATAAAATTGTTAAAAGCCTATTGGTTGATGGTGACACCAGTGCAAAATCTACGTTGGGTTGTGAGATGACTTTTATTTTGGAAAACATTTGACGGTTTTGCAATTGTTAATTATGACTTATTTTTATTTGTTCAATCTGTGAGGAAGTTATTTTTGTTCGTAATATTTTTGTTTGGATTAAGTGATTATGAGAATGAAATAAAGCATTATAATTTTTAAGTTTCCATATTTTTGGGAGGGAAATGCTTTAAATGTAGTGAATGCAGTGGCATTTATTATTATTGAAAGGAGAAGTTGCAACGAAGTTTCATGCATGAAATTCTTGCTTTCATGTAAATAATCTTCTTTTGTGGCTCTACTTCTTGTTTTAAATTTTAGAATAAATTTTATCCTTTTTAGATAATAATTCTTGTTTATAAACCAATGATTCTACATTCTTTCAGTTTTGTTTTTTATTACTGTACAAAAAATGTATTAAATATCCATTACCTTTAATGCATGTTCCTTAAATGAAATTCAATTGAACAAAGTCTGTTTTATATTTCCAGAAACTTTTAAAACATAAAATCATTTCATAATATAAACAGATATGTTTAGAGAAAAATCAAAATAAGTAATGTCACAAAAGAAGAGAAAACATATGTACAAATAGCAATAATCAGAAGCAACATTGTAATATTATCTTAAACATCATTCTTACTGCTCACAAATCTGATGCATTAAATCAAATTCTGTCATCTTTCATGAAGGATTGAGAAATTTATTCTTTTTCAAATTTATGCACTCTTTATTCGTATTTACTTTGGTACCTTTGGTACAGAAATTTATCAGTATACACTTTCTAGGAGGCCAGAGGCCTCTTGAACATACTTTTGAAAGATCTACACCGGTCAGTGCTTGAACAGCTGGAGGTACTTGCCCCACAAGGCGCGTAATTTCTCCGCTGGTTGCGTCGTTTCCACCTAACAGGACAATTTCCTCCGTTCTCGCCAACGGCGCGGCTA